TTTCTTTCTTTCTTTCTTTCTTTCTTTCTTTCTTTCTTTCTTTCTTTCTTTCTTTCTTTCTTTCTTTCTTTCTTTCTTCCTTCCTTCCTTCCTTTTTGTTGTTGGTCGTGGGGCTTGAACTCCAGGCCTGGGCGCTGTCCCTCAGCTCTTCAGCTCAAGGCAAGCCCTCTACAATGTGAGCCATAGCTACACTTGTATCTCCATTAATAAACCTCTCAGAAAACTGAAAGTGGCACTGTGGCGCAAGTAGTAGCGTGTTAGCCTTGATCTGAAGAGCTGAGGGATAGCACCCAGGCCCAGAGTTCAAGCCCCACAACTGAAAACAACAAGAAAAAATGTGATTCATTAAACTAATGGTAACAGGACAGTGAGTATTATGTTTCTTGGTTTCTACATGAGGAAACAATGGTCATTAAATTTAGTTGCTTCTTCAAGGCCACACAGAGTTTAAGGAACAACTGAGAGATATGTGGACCTAGGATGAAATCTAAAACGTTTTTGCTATAACTTTAAGGACATTAAAGATTCATGTTAAAGTCTGGGTTTAATTCCTCTCCATATTTTTTCTTATCTTATTTTTTCTGTGTTCTTTTGAACTACCAACATGCCCATTCCACAAAGATTAGAACAAAAACTCCGACTGTGTGTTACATTCCGGCCATAGCAGTAGTAGTGAAACTAAACAACTAAACTTAACAGGACTAAAGGATGAAAAATGACTAATTGTCAAATATTGTTTATTTACTAGCTCATTTCATTTCTACATTATTAATTCATAGATGCTAACAATTTGCTACATCACACATAGAGACATACCTATGGGCTGAAGTTTATAGTAGGAAAGGTCAAGGGGAGGAGGGTAGATGAATAATGAGAGGATGTAGGAGGAGAATGCAGTCATAATATTCAATGCATACCCTATGACTTTAAGAAAGAAAGAAGGGAGTGGTGAGGTTGGGTGGCATCAGGGAGAATGATGAAAGGACCCACACCAATCAAGATGCCTTGTATTCATAAACTGATTTGTTGCATGGAAACTCCTTTGTACAGCCACTTAAAGATAATAAAAAATACAATTTGAAAAGATCAGAAATGATAAGGTACCTGTTCACGGTTCCCTGTTGATTTGGGACATGGTTTGAAATCTATATCTGTTTAATTCAAAAGTTATTGTATTTCCTGACTTGAAAGAGGAATTGAGCAACAAGGGTGATAGTCCTAAGAGGAATGAAGAAAGGATTGTCTATTTCTTGAGTCTGCCTTCCAGAAGCATTTCTGGAGGAATGTATGCATGTTGTTATTTGATCTCAAGCACCAGATGACTGTATTATTTCCTTTTAAAACATTCAACTTGGTTGTTGTCAGGCGATCCAGCCATACACAGTCACTCACTGATTCTTGCTCAGTGTCTGAACTCGACAAATTATGTTTGCTTGTTCCTTTTCAACCACATCAAAGTGTCTCTTTCTAACAATGGTCACATTCCTCTTTTCCCTAGCCTTTCCAGAATACAAGGCCTTTTGTGTCCTGTATGATTACCCTCCATAATTTCTGCAAACTCATTTTGACTAGTCACTCAAAAAATATTCTGTTCCTTTTCCTTAACTGTAATGAGGCTACTCTTAGCTCAAAGCTGTGATGAAATAAGAATAAAGAATATCAGTTGACATATACTAGATATTGCAAATAAGAGAAACCATGGGACCTATGTTTCTTTGGGCCTGGCTTACTTCACTTAATAATGTTTTCCAAGCCTTTCCATTTCCTAACAAATGGAGCAATGTCATTCTTTCTGATGGAGGCACAGAATTCCATTGTGTATATATACCACATTTTTTTGATCCATTCATGTACTGAGGGGCATCTTGGTTTGTTCCATATCTTAGCTATAGTAAATAATGCTGCAATAAACATAGTTGTGCTGGTAGCTTTAGTGTGGTCTTGTTTGTAAACATTTGGGTAAATG